ATAACAAGATTTGTCTTGAAGTTGTGTTGCTTCCGAACTTTAAGTTTTAGAAAGTGGGAGAGCGGAAAGGGAGGAAATGCAAATGACCAGGAGATGGAAGTGAAATACAAAACAAATGCCTCTGTTTGCCACCCCCCAACATCACTGCGTCAATACCTTACAAGGTGGGGTGGCGGCGGTGGGGATTTGATTAATCAACAGAAGGGTGGGTGGCTTAGAACGTTTTCATCGATACAAGGTCTGTGGGGAAGTTACCCTTTGTTGACGAACTAGACTGCTTCAAGCCTTGCTTCGCAAGACAAAGTCCTTCGGTAAGCCCCCTTTTCAAGCCTCCGTCATCCTTTCCTTTTGTGACTCTCCTCCGTTCAACCGAGTTCTCTGCCTTTTGGCGGGCGCCAAACTCTTAGGGATTGATGGAACACTCCGCTTCCACCCAGGCGAGCGCCCGGGTTTAACCACAGGTTGCTGTTGGATTGAATGCAGGGTTGCCCACTCTAGCCGTGACGCCATCTCTGTTGCCAAAGACATGTCCACCTGTCCACCTGAGTCGATCATTGTTTCGGAATGTTGCCAAGTCAACCATTGATGTCTCCAATCATTGGACGTCCAGTGACGGATTTCTCCATGTCAATCCCTCCATGAGGTCCGACTGACTTCGTCCGCTTCGCCGTGCTCGGGTCGGACCCGGTCGGGTCGTAACCGGCTGCTCTCCTTATCGTCGGAGCTCTTGACCGGCTTCCTGGGAAAAAGGCCCGGAGCGAATGAAGAACGGGTGAACGGGATGGAAGACGGTTTTTAACCATGAGACGTTCTTTTCTTGGTGGCGGTTTGTGTCTTCCGAACGACCGTTTTGAGAATGGGTCAGAAAATGGTCCAAGGACTATCGAAAGGTTGCTTTTGAAGCATCGAGATGGTCCTGGACCCTGTGAATTCAAAAGAGCAAGCCACAAGGGCAGCGCTGGACCATCCGGAAGTACCTGGAGGAATTTGGATGAAAAATCTATAGGATGCCCCTTGCTATCACCTCAAAGAACAACGGTTAATGGTTTCCTCTAGATCTTCCCCTAATTAAATTCCCAGACTTAAACGAGAACAACTACAATGAAACAAGACAACCTTGAACGTAGAACTCCTGCTGACTCCTGCTCATTAAAACTGAGAGAGCCCGCCCCTACCAATACGTCTTTGGAGAGTCTCCCCAGGCCTTCCTATTATACACACCCAGATTCCGTAAGCATGGCATACTGCCTTCTAATTGAGTTCCATAGCTCCCACCAACCCTCGCTCCGACCCTCGGCAAGGGCAAGGTGCGAGAAGAAGATGGGTGACTAGATGTGACTAGGCAGTGTCAAAAAGCTGAGAAGTCCGGGTTCCTAATGGCTTCGTGTTCCTAGTAGTAAGGCACTTGTTACTAGTAGCGATGCACTTGTTCCTAGTAGCTTCTTGTTACTACTAGTAAGGCACTTGTTCCTAGTAGCGATGCCCTTTGCTCCTAGTAGTTTCTTGCTCCCAGTAGTAATTAAGGCTTGGAGCGCCCCTAGTAGCGTCCGATCGCTCCTGGGAATTGAGAAATTAATAACTTTGACGCTACCCTCTGGCCTAATCCAACCAGCCTCAAAAACTTCAATCGACCGACTATGTGGCCTGTGACCGACGATTTGCTCCTACCATCTACAGAGTTTCTGTACGACCATGTGCCACAAAGCCAGGAGCTTGGATGAATCATTTTGCAGCATTTCGATAGAGACGAACAATGTTGAACCATGCCCTCCACCGTTGGGTGTCTAATCTATCGTCCATGGATCTCCATGGACTATAATTCAGCTAGCTACTCTATTTAATCTATTCTCAAGACTTGCACCTCCCATTCTAAGTAGATCATTCATCCTCATTCCCCCACCCCCAAGAAGAAAGGACACACACTTGGCCAATCTCTTTTTGCTCAACACTTCTCTTCATCACTCCTCAGCTTCCTCAAAGCAACCCACTTGGCCCATCTCTCTGGGACCCTCTGACTCGGGCCGTCTCTCCCCGCGCGCGCGCGGAAAGCGCGCGCCTGTGGAGCTCGGAGCGCGTGCGGAGGCGCTCCACTTCTTTGATCAGGGCATCCACCTGCCGGGTGCGGCGTTCGCACGAAGGGAGCCTCTCCCAGTATGAGGGAGGATCGTTTTTTGCCTGAACAATCCCCAGCAACAAGCAGAAACAAATAGAAACCGTGTTGGTGGTTCCTAAGGGGGCGCCATCTTGAGGTCCTGATATATCGATCCCATACATCCGGATGGAACATCTGCCATTTCTCACCATGCAATGTGGCCACGCCACGAGCGTCCAGCGTCCACCCAGTCCCCTGCTTCGTCGGGAGTCGAGGCTTGAGGGTGGTTCATACAAACCATGTTTTTTGTGGGGTTTTCGAGTGAAGACTCATGTTATAGGGTCTATCCAGGTCTACACTCGCCGAAAGAGGAAGCCTCTCCATCTTGTTTCGCACTGCAGGAGGCTTCTGACAATAGTCTTAAAGGCTTAAAGGCTTCTTAGGCCACCCATTTTGGGGGCATTCTTGGAGTTATTGATGATGATGCCGCGCCACCACCCCCAAAGAACACCTCTTTGAAGGCCCCACCGAAGTCTTTCCACTCAAGTCAGCATCCATATCTCTTCCCAACGATTCCGCCCTTCTTTTCAGTCCAAATCGATGTCCACAACTTCCTTGGCATGTTACACGCCCAGGACACCCCCACGTGAGGTCGACACACAGTGACTCCATGGGCGCGAAGCTGCATGGACACTGTCGGAGGATCCAACTGATTTCTGTGCGACAGGCATCGATGGCGGTGATGACGACCGCTTGAGCAAAACACGTGTTTTCGATCACATCTCAGGGACCCAGGGACCATGTGTTTTCTGCCCTGGTCCTGTGTTCTACTTCCACCTCGTCCAACACGTTCTTTTTGACCCTTTTTGTTGATGTGATCACTTCATGGCCAGAACCAATTGTGAAGGGCTCTTTTTCCACCTGAACAGGTTCTTTTTCAACCCTGTGCTCCCGCACATGGTGGGAAAGAAACCCTTGCAGGGTGGAAAATAAACCCCGCAAATCTCGGCGTTGAGTTGGGAGAAAAGAAAGCCTCGCAGGCAGGAAAAGAGACACAAACACTTTGAAAGGGAACCGTCAGCCGGGTGGAAAGGAAACCCTTGCAGGGCAGAAAAGAAACCCTTGCACGGTGGAAAAGACACCCCGTAAATCGCGGCGTTGCAGAATAACACCCAAAGGTTTAGACAGAAAAGACACCCTCATGGCAGGGTGAGTAGAAAAGAAACCCTTCCAAATAGAGAACCATTAGCCGGGGCGGAACGGGCAGGAGGCAGGGTAGAAAAGAAAAAAGAAATCCCTTCAAGGTGGCAAAGCAGCTCTGGAAGGCAGGGCATAAAAGAATCCCCCTGCAGGGCAGAAAAGAAACCCATGCAGGGTGGAAAAGAATCTGTGCAGGGTAGGAGGGTTGCACAGCACGCAAGTGCGCAGAAACAGGGCGGGAAGAACAAGAAACTCTAGGGCTAAATTAGAACCCAGTCCAAAGATCGGGACATGTCAATCAAACCATTTAGATTTAGATATAAGACTACGTGTCTGTTTGTCATGGGTTTGACTATTTTAACGATACTATACGTAACGATATTGGACATGTACAAGTGCAATGGTGCTGAAAATGTTTTGAGTGTTCAAATATTGGTTCAGCCCCACTAAGTTCGTGGACACAACACACACATATAGTTTTTGCATCGCATAAAGAACACAGTGGTTGGCTGCAGCTAACGGTTAGCTATCTGCTTGGCAGAATGCGTTCATGAAACAAACAATGAAGTAACAACTTCAATAGTTAGTGTGCCTTGCAAACCTTTGCTTTTGTTGTTACGATGGGTTTTAAAATCTTAGTTGGGCCATCTATATAATCTATTGTACATTCAAGAGGAGGTGTGACGAGATGCCAAGATGTCGTCCTCTAGCAGTATTCTATAGTACTTCAAATTGTTGGGAATTGTAATTGGACCTGAACTTGAACTTCCTGCATGTTCGGCTCATGGACTCCCTTCGGTAAACCCGACTCTGACTGACTCTCACCCAACCCGAAGAAACGACTTGAGAGAAGCACTGAGCAAGCTCAGTTGATCCAAAACAATGCCACTCTCTGCAAATTAACATGGAGCCCCAAACCCACTGGGTTGGTATTCGGAAAATGGTCGATCAATTCTCAAGGTCCATGTTAGTCATCGAACCAATTCACGGTGGCCAGAGTGGTGCGGTCAAAGAGGGAGTAACGGAGAAGGTGAAAAGTACATCAAAAGGGGTGAGTCGTTGGTCAGAAGTGGGCCAAAATGATCCTGACCTTGGCCCAATGGTTTCTTGATCCAAGATCCACCAACAGAGTGGCCAGCTTCAAAAGGCCAGCCACGAAAGTGCGCGACCAAACGCGAGCAAAGCAACGCTGCTAGCAGTCGTCGGATGATGTATAAGGTGAGGCTGTGAGGAATAGGGAAATGTTCCACACGTTCTATTAGGTTTTGAAATATTTGGTCATTAAACATCGTCAAACGACCCCGGTAGATCATTGACTTCTTCCTTAGGGCCTTAGGGGTGTCTCCAAACCAAAAAACACATGAAAGTTATACAAAATTATAGGAACCGGAACCCTTTCTCACAGCAGCTCAACCGCAGCCAGTCGGAGTGAGTGTCTCTCAAAATCGATGCTACTCCGAAGAACGAATCGTGTACAACGAATCGTGCCAGGCGAGCGAAAGTAGAGTTCACACCTTGGGCCAAACCAACTGGGGTCGCCCCATGATCATGAACAATCAAACAGCATATAGGCGCAGGTTGCAACATGTCCTTGTGTTTACTTCTTAAACAGCAACAACACATCAGAGGCATCACTGTGTCTGTTTTGCCGTGTTTCAGCTTCTTCTCAGCTGTGAACATCAAGCAAATCCATCCTCCGACGTTCTGCTCAATTCAGCATACGACCGACTTCTTCGAGCGTGATCTCACATACGTTGCCGTTCATCCTGGGGGGCACACCGTCCACGCACATCGTCACCAGCATGAGGGGCACATTAAAAGAAAACCTCCGAACAACTAGACATGAATGGCGGGTTTTGCCTGATTTCGACAGATGGTTGCTTTTTGATGACCAAGAAGGACACAGCACAAAGGACCAGGACCTTCATCTTGCTTTGCTTGTTTCCCTTCGATCAAATATCGATTGTTCATAACAATAACATCAACAGCAACAACAACAACAACAAGGAAAAGCACCGCCAACAACAACGACAACGACAACAACAAGAACAATAAGGAGGACAAACAAGGATCTAGCGTTGTTATGAATGGTGGAGCTTCATCCTGGATATTCCTGGATCTTGATTCGTAGTGGAAAAACTACATGCTCGGAACATGGAAACTGACCCTCCCTTGAGAAAACATGGGCAACGTGAGAATCCACAACCTCCTGCAACCGCAGCAGTAGCTGGTTCTTCCAGAAGACTTGCCAGGAGGGTTCACAGCAGCCAATTCCCCTCCACCAAGGTGCTTGTTGCTCTTCACCTTCAGCTGTGTTCCTGGCGTGTTGGATGCCCACCAACCAAAGTCCCTCTAAATTCATTCACAGTTTGTTTCCATTGTCAAATAAATCGAATCGGATAGACTAGGGGATATATAATCCAAGTTTTTTGTAATCATCCCATGTTCCATTTCCTTGGAAATGATGTCTACTTTAGGCAGCTTGATTACCTCAACTAAAAACATCGAACTTGAGTGCTCTGCGAGTTTTTTCTTTTCAAGAGCTTACGGGGATTGTTCTACGTTTTACTTCTATACTCAGGGAACTTAGATGAACTTAGGGTCATACGAGTAGCCATGGGATCATCATGCCCCCCTGTGTTGTGAACTGCCCCAATCGCGCAAGGCTTTGCGTCCTGAACACCAGAACAAGAGTATCCAACAAAAAAGGTATGTCTCAACAAGCATCCTGGTGCCCCGGTTGAATGGCTTCTGTCTACTGGTGATTCACAAAAGAACAGCAGCGTCTTTGACCTCGATATGTCCAGCTGAATCGAATCCCACACGGGGCCAACGACAGGTGATGGGCCAAATGCTTTTGTTGTGGTTCCCGGATCCACATATTCCGACTCCTCTCTCAAACGGCATATACTTAACGGAGCATGGCCTTTTGAAGTGAAGATTTCCTCGCCTTTCAGTCTAAACCAATATGGGAAGGTCCTTTGATCGTTGGTTTTGTACCATCTTCTTATGCCCTAGGGATCCAGTCGTACCGAACCTCAGAAGGTGCTTGGACCCTCTTGGCACCTACATAACAGTGTCGAACACATCACCAAACCTGAGAAGGTACGACTGGATCCCTAGGGATGAGAAGGATGACCTGAAACAAGTTGATCGCAGTATTTGAAAGATCTTTATCATGCAACGAAGCACTGGACCTTTCATTCGTGCCCCGAAAAAAAAAAAAAAAAAAAAGGAACAAACCCGATCATTCCACATGTCAGAATGTCAGACGACGTATGCGCGACGCATCGCCGTGGGAAGGTCCGGGGGTCGGTCGCGAAGGCCGCGACGGTCGCGACGTGGACGCCCAGGTGGAACCCGTCGCGCGTGCGGCGTCCGGGTCCGATATCGGCCTGGTGAGAGGAGGCTCTCCTTCTCATTGCTGTAAAAGGTCACCTGCGGGTCAAAGGCCGTTTCCCAAAGCAGTGTTTGATTTGATATGATACTTTCATGGAATGACCTGCGCGGATGTGGCTTGGAGCTTGGATTCAAAGAGAGATGGAAACGATTCAGTTCATTTCAGTTCCACAAAAGTAAAAGGAGTGGTATCAAAGGAGTAGATCTTCGAACCCTCCAAGTGCGGCTCCGAACGACTGCGTCGACTGCTGGGACTGTGTCGACCGGTCGACACAGGTCATATTATTTGGGGGAAGGATCATTCCTTCGGTTGAGGCGAGTACTCATGAGTATACTTAATTGGAGGTACCTTTTCTGGAGCACTTGAGCGAATCTCACTCCAACCAAACGTCTCCCCCAAATCGCGCACATCGCCCCGAACACATGGTGATGCTGACCACGGCGACCCGCATGGTCAACCCGCAGGTCAACTGTCTACGTTGGATCACCATGACAGCAAGAAGTCCTGGCTGGAAGATGCAGCTGGAAGATGCTGGATTAAAGGGAGGAACAACCAACCAATCCGACATGGAGCAACGTCGTAAAATACGAAGTCTGGGAAGAGATACGATTCATCTCGGCGCGGACAACGGCCAAGACAAATTGACTGCCTCTTCCGAACGTGGTGTCTTTCGACATCCTGTTGATGGATTCATCAAGGCCACTGGAGTGGGGGCGGAATTGTCGTAATGTAAAGGAAATAGGACAAGCTCGTGAGAACTGCAGATATTTCGTAATTGGTCGTTTTATGTCTTTCTCATTCCAATCAAACCCCTTCTGTACTACCAACCCCCATCACAAAGATAACAAAGTATAATGGGACTTGTTTCTGTCTGGGTGTTGCTTCTTTATCTATTTCCAGGTCTCTATAGAAATTGGAGTCCCAAGACGAATCGAGCCTAAACTGAGGTCATGAGATGTTGTCAACCAACTGTTCGATCGTGTCTCTTGCACCTTTCGAGGGTGGAGCGCCACATGGTCATCAAAAGAGGTTCAAGCAATAGCACCAGATAAAGTCAAAACACTTTTGATAAGATAGTTAAGCCCTCCCAGTCAAAACACCAGTCAAAACACACTCCTCTTTTTCTATAATTAAGCCCTCCCAGTAACTATCTTGTGTGCCCCGACTGACTGAGAACAAAAAGCAACAAAATTGTCACAAGAACCCTTGGGCCTGGGAGATATCAGAGGCCGTCTTGGACTCCACAGTGATCAGCGTGGATTTGCCCCCGCAGCCTTCAGCGAAGCCCTTCGCCACCTTCTCATCCTTGGAACGAAGTGTGGATGGCGTGAAGACACCTGACAACTTGGGGTTGTATTCCTTGCAGCTGCTGCAGCAAGAGTGGATATACATATATAATATAGTCATAAATATACTTGAGAGAGGAGGGGGTGAACGAAAGGTAGCAGGCAATCACAAGTAACCCTGCTGATTGTAATACATTTTTGCTAAAGCAAGGAGAACTCAGGTAGCTCAAGCTACCTTTCGTGATATAGTCTTACAAAGTCGGTTGTATATGATGCATAGAGTTGGGGTTGCCCCAGGTGGATTTGGGGTTGCCCCAAGCCAAGGGCAATGGACCCGCGCAAAAATGACAAAGAGTCTATACCGTCTATACCATAAGTGCTGCTTCTGCTCCCTTCGCAAAAGAGGTTATCCTACATTATCCTTCAACATCTGAGAATGCTGATGATTTACCTAACACCTGGGTTTGGTGCATTCCAGCTCATTCAATGATCTCTTGCACCAGCAAAACATGCGTCATCCCTGACCCTGGATCGACACCGGTTTCGAGTCCATCCAAAGGTCCACTCAAGGCACAAAGCTGGTCAAACCATTGGATCAAACCATTCCACCCAACGCTTGGTTGCTACACTTATCGCGTCAGGACCTTGGCTTGGGGGCTGTTTCAATGAATGAACTTCAAACATGATTCTTGAGAACCCTTGGAATTTTACACCGTAAAACGGGATCAAGGAAGACTTCGGAAAACATACAAGTTTTGTATGTCTGCAAGCATAGAGAACAATGTTGTTTACCGGGGCAAATTGAAGAGTTGACTAAATCCGAGGGAACACAAAAAATACAACAAACGCCGAGGAAAACCAATGAATTTCATCAAAATTCTAACATATCCAGGAAAGCAAAATGACGTGATGCTACTGTCCTCTACATGTTCGGCATCCATTCTTACAGGATGCTTGAATTTCATTCTTGCCATCAAGGGCCATCAAACAATCTTTATAAGATTCACTTCATGATCCTGCGAAACGTGTTCCCTATGCAGGCCGCGCCGGCCGTGGGGATTGGAATCAAGAACCACCTCTCCACAAAGGGCGGGGGCTCCCCACTGCGATATCTGCGCCCACTCCGTAGACGGGGGCCCCGGCAGAGGTGCAACTGGAGATGCCCCACCAAACCACGGTGTTGCCCACCTTGTACCTGAGCGACAAGCTGGGTGGGTGTTTCCATGGTTTCCGTGGTACCTTCTTTTCGAGCAACACGTTCCTATAGCGGTCCAATGGGGCAACGGCAGTATGATGATACACCGTACGGACAGTTCACTCAAGTCTATATACAGTGGCGAGAGTGTAGTTTGAATTATATTCTGGACAACTCGAATTACATGTTTTCTCGGCGAAGTCCACCTGCGAAATCCCACAAAACCCAACATGATTCACCAGTTCAAGCTAATGTTCATCTCTTCAGTGGAAGTTGCCGAGACACTGGGAGTTCTTATGGAGATCCACCGACAAGCCGCGCCAAAGCTTGCGTTTCTGCTTTGGCAAGGCGTCCATGGATTCGAAAAAGAGCCGCAAGTACTTGAAGTACCTGGGGGCACTGCCGTTGAGCAAATAGCTAGACTTTTGATTAAAAAACCCGCCATATGAATATAGGTGTTCACTTCAAGTGGGGGGTTTACTATATATAATCATTATTAATCAAGAGTCTGCATTAGGAACAAAGACCCACGTGTACTGGGATGAACTGGGTCTGCATTCGGAAAGGAGGCATCCCGGGCTGATGATTTCAGGGAGGACTTATTGTGGGAGCCGCACTCCTGCTGCATATGTTTTCCGATGTTACTGGCTTTGGATATTTTTCCGATGTTACTGGCTTTGACACGACACACAGACTTGCATGATCACCCGGTCCATATCCACAAAGGGGGGGCGCGTGGTTTCATAAATTTCTGCTAATGTATGCAGTATGCAGATGGGGGGGACAGGTGACAAAATATAAATATGTTGGTTCCCTCGGTGTTTCTGGAAACACCGTCTTCAGGATATGTATGAAGCAGGGGGTTGCTCAAGACTGGAATGTATGCACACATGATGCACACAGGGTACGCACTCAACTTTGCAAATCTACATTTTTTGCGCATTTGCGGCCATTGTATGAACAGGGGGGGACAGGGTCAACCAAAATTAACAACAGATCACTGTATGACAGGTCCAGAATCTAGGGTAAATGTATGCACACAAGGGGGAACGGTGCTGGAGTAGCAGCGGCAATGACGACCATACATTGCAAACTTATAAACATTGTGGAGTCCGTGGGCTCCTGGGGTATTTAGGATGTTGATTTTTCTTCTCGGTGTGCCTATCTCGAAAATATGTAGTGGCACGTATTGGCCCCCTGTGCGCAATTTCTCGCTCCAATTGGTTTTTGCAGGATGAAACCGTGAACTTTGCATCACATCAACCTGCCAAACAGAAAAAAACACCATCCATAAGGAAGAGATGTTTCCCTGGTGCTCCTGTGACTCAGGTCGGGTGTTTATTAATCAAAGGTACAATACCGCGGGATGGTGCCAGAGGCCAACAAGACAACAAAAACCGACTCGCAATCCGCAGGAACCAACTTGGTTCCCAACAGTAACATGTTTTGTACCAGGAGTCGCCACTTAGGCGGCGGGCACAGGGTGGGGCCATACAGCAGTTGGAGCCAAACACAAACAAATGCTCCTTGGCTGCGGTTTTGTACATGCTTTTTTCCCCCTGCCACCGTCTTGCCGTGGCTTTTGCTGGCTCATTCTGTGGGCAAGCTTCTTGCTTGGGGCCTCAGGGAAATTAGGGCTACACAGGGACGGACAGAATACTCAGCATTGGAGGATGTGCATGAAACATTCCTCACAACGCATGAAAAACTGCTATGGTGACCTGCTGGAAGCGATGCCTTTAAGAGTGTTTTCCTGAAAGAAACAAAATACTGGGTTGCTTTGGCTACCAAAAGCATCTGCTTGATGTGACAGCTTTCAGTGCTGAATCTCTCCGCAATTTGCTGCCGGACTGCAGCTACCAGTCTCGGCTCTGAACATCACAGGCATTTCAAGGGTATTGTGGAGTTGCACCCTGCACCAAGGTGTACGGATTGCTAGAAAGCTTAGTGATGTGTGCAGCACTCTACCTACGGATTTGAGGTGCCTGGGCTGAAGTTCTTGAGTGCAGTGGCTCCAAAGAATTTGATAAATGCATCGTTAAATGTTGGTGTACGAAAAGCCTGTTCAAAACATGGGCCACAAAGCAAGTCCGAGAGTCTTAACATTTTTCGGCTTTGAAGCTGCGAGGAATCCGTTTTCTCAAGGCAAATGCTGACGGTCTTTCTAAATCCCGGTGCCCCAAATCATAGTATACATATATTTTGTGGAACGGATGCATGTCTGATGGGCCCTGGAGTACGGAAAAAACAGCTTGCTTACACGATCTGAGGATGCACCCGTCTCGTCTGGCGCCGTGCGCCTGCCCCAAAAGGTGAAGCGGAGAACTCCCGACCAGATCAAGCAGACAGATGCTGTAATCAAAAGGCATTGGAACAATGACAACAAGCAGGTCTGCTTGAAGAGTATCAACAAGCAGTTGATCAAGAAAGGCTTGAGGTGGGGAGTTGAGTCAGTCATCGTTCACGTCGTACAAGCAAAACATGAAAGACAGGTCTGTTGGAACAGATCCCATCACAGGGTGACACGAAATTGAGCCTTGCCTTAGGTTGAGTGGTGAAAGCCGCGGCAACAGAGACTCCCAGCCTTCCCGTGACGGACGACCAGTTTTGCGCCGGATGCATTACCCGCCCCTCTTAGGCCAGGAAACTCTGGCAGCCCTGCCTAGTGCAAACTGTATGAACCCATGGAGTCGAGCAATTCTTAGGAAATCATTCGTGTGTTCGCCAGAACGTAGGGTTAGCTTGGGTTGCTGCTTTCACTGGCTCAAGTGATTGCAGCCTAGGGACTGCTTTGAATAGGACAGGTGTCACAATGTTGGGTGGGCCATGGCTATCGGTGCTGGGCCTCTCATTGACCCTGGAGCTTGTTCAAGGCCCCCCCGGCTGATTGGGTCTGGTGGTTTTCTTCCAACTCCTCGGATGAGGTGGAGGAGGTTTTCCCAGACGCGACCGTGGGCGAGACCGCCCCTCCCAGGATGGCCCCTGAGGAAGGTGAGCGTTCCGCTCCTCACGCGGGAGATGCGAACATTTTGGCTCATGTGTGGGGTCACTCAGTTTTCCATTTTGACATCAGGTCCTGGATGGGACCGGCATGGTTTAGCACCCCACAACAGAAGGGAAGTCTTAGCTCCTCCGCGGGCTGGGGACTTTACTTTCTTGATCGATTTGGACTCGCTACCTGCGGAGAATTTTGGCCATGGATTGCCTGGGGAACCCTACTAGCGCTGATTACAGTTTTGACCATTGGGGTAATCTATGCGTTGACTTGGGTCTTCCGGCCGATCCGGCTACTCTTTGATTGCTGCACCCGTCATACTCAAGCTGTTGCACGGGAGGTAAGTGATCTTCTGCCTGAGTTGCAGGCAACCCACACTTACGAATCCTTAGCCATCCGAGGCCCCGGCTCCAGGGAAAGTGTTGATAATGACTTCCTACAAAAAGGAGTCAAGGGTCGAGGGACTGAGAGAAAGCCCAACGATGTGGTGCTTCTGCTCAATGGTCAGGCAGCGAGGGTCAAACCCGATTGCGACCACTGGGCACGCGTTGATCGGAATGGGCTTTGGGTTCGGCTGAGAGAAGTTCGAGGTGTTTCCCATCGAAATCTGAGGCAGGTTTTGGAAGGAGAGAGTAAAGTCCACCTTTGCCGGGAAATGCAGTGTAGTCTTGAGAACCACCCTACACCGGGTATACACTGCAAAACCTACGCAGTGGTGGATGCCAACAGCGTGGTAGATTTGGGAGCGTACGCCGGGTGGTCCACCAGGCGACTGATGGTGCTCTTTACCAGATGCTTCAGAAGTGTCGGACGATCCGTCTGGAAGATGGTCGGGGTACTCTCTGGGTGGACGCTCCTTCGATATCTGATGGATACCCCTCAACCAACCCGTACCATCCAGGATCATGGAGGTCTCCGTACCCTTGACCCTGAGTCGGAATCTGAAGCTGAGGTCCTGGAAGATCCTTGCGAGGCCGTCCTAGTTGGATTGACCCATGGTGGCAAGCCGCGAGCCTTAGCCAATGAACCATGTCGGGATCAAGCGGCTGGGGAGTCGGTCCGACTCCTTGAATGTGACAAGGGTCTTTCCGATGTCAAGGGCAGGCAAGCGGTCCGCTTGTGTGATCACCATCGACAGTTGTATGTGGCAGCATGTTCCGGACGCAAGTGCAGCGTACTCTCATGTTATGAATCACACGATGGAGCCAAACAAGGGGTCCCCCTATGCAAGCATCACCTGATGGATGTTGGTAGCTCGGTGCGCAGCAAACGCAAGGTTACCTGGGAGAGCGACGGGAGCAATCCAGAAGCAGAAGAACCATCCTCAGGAGTTGAAGGTCACTTTGAGGATCAACGGGGGGTCTCTCCTCAAGCCCGCAGTAGCCGCCCCAAGCGTAGAGCTGCCACTAGCCAGCCCAAGGCACGCGCTTCCTCAGCAGGGCCCCAATCTCAGTTCCAGCATCAAGCGGAAGGCAGGCTTCTTCAAGGCCCATGTATCTCACTAATCAGATTCAAGTCCCTCCAGAACGGGGAAAGTCTGCCAAGATGGGTCGCGTTTTTGGGGCGGGTTACTGGAGTCGCTACATCTAGCCGAGCTCAGGAGAAGGTTGAAATTGACATCCCTGCCCTCAAAGTTCAAGGGGTGGTCCACCTCTCGCAGTTGCGCCCCCCCCCCCAGGGATGATGGACACGGACGGATTTGTAGGGAATGGATTGATGACTTCCTTCAAGCCTCCCATGAAGCGTCCGTCGGGAAAGGGATTTCATTCCTGTGTAGTCAGGTCACTGAAGAGCAAGCTCTCTTGCTCCAAGCATGGGACGGCCAGGTGACTGATGGCGAGTCTCCCTCGTTCCAATCAGGCAAGACCTGGATTTGCAGTCATCTTCAACAGGAGGTTCTCCCTCATGCTGAAGCTTATGTTGTCACACATCAACACAAGAAGAAGGAATTCATGACACCTCCGAGACCGACAGCTGTAGAAGATGGTACGGGAGAAGATTTACCTGACATCCCCCCTTTCCCAGTTGATGATGAAGTGGATACCGGAGCGCGTCTCAATGCAGCACGAGACACATTGTTAGCGCACTCACCAGGAGATTTGAGCGCTGAAACAGTGCAAACGGTAGCCACTGCTTTCGAGGTCGATCCGACCACCCTCATGCAGCAGTTCGGGATCCCAAAGAAGCCACTAGAAAGTGCCATTCGACCTGCTGCTCCGGCCCCATCACGTACCCCACCAGGGTTGGAAGGGCCGTTCAAAGCGATGACCCCACAAATTCCTGCCCCTGCTCCAAGTGAACCCGCCTCGGGCCATGTCCTCGTTATCCCAGGATCCAAGAGAATCCCAAACCCCCTGCTGGGGGCTGCCATGCCGGGGCAAGGAGGGGGAGGGAT